AGGACTGTACGTACTTGGTGCTGTTAAAAAGATAGTTCAATAGTAATGGATGAGGAAACAGGGAAACAATATTTGGAATTCATAACATCTCACTCCAGACATTCTACGTAAATTAGCTGAGGCACACATCCAAAAGCCCCTGAGAAATACATACAATCATTTCCAGTTTGGGAAAGGGGATGGAATAATTGAGCAACTTCAATAATTCATTTGAAAACTCATTGGAGCCCATAAACCAAGACAAGTGACAGAGACAAAAGCTGAACTGAAACACCCTGACTTATTCCAGTATTAGGATTTAAACTGGCAGCCAAAAACGCAACTCTGATCCAGAAGAACTCAGCATTTGAGCTCTGTGGGTTGTGGACAGGGGTCAAGTCTCCACACATTGGCATCTATGCCATTCTAGGTCCTTCATTTTCTACAGTTCATTCTTGTTGGTATTGGTACCCTCACTAGGACAGGCTCAGAAGAAAAAGGATTTCCTGTTGAGTCCTTATCCTGTAGCTCTGGACACTTCACTGATTGTCTTCTGCAATAGGTAAAATGTTTCTAAAACCAAAGGTGGAAATGAAACAAAAATATGTTGAAAGACAAGGGTAAACATATTTAAGAAATTAAAACAAAATGATCATTTATTGTTTTTAATATGTAGTTAAATATGACAGCAGTATTACACAAATTGTTCCCTTCTCCCCTTTCTAAAATCCCAAATTTGTTGACTTCAACTGAAAGTGAAAAAAATAGAACAAAACATGATTTAATTCTGAAGATAGCATTCAACAGAGAAAACACAGGCAACAATTGGTCACCACCTGCTTCCAGACCTTTAAAGATGAATTCTGTCACAATGGTGGTCGATACACTGGCTTTCTTACAAAATTATTACTAGGGAAAGAAAAAGATTTGCCATGTAGTGTAAGTAGAACCAGAAGAACTACAGAAAAACTTGACTTAAGAAGCTGTGTGAAAAACACTTAATGAATTATTGCAATCATAGGGATCTTCAGATAGCAAATCAATGAACTATAAGGAAATACATTCAAACTTAGATAATTTTTCTTACAGTGAAAATAATCAAGAAGCTTGCAGAAGTATGTAGCATCTGAATTACGGAATTTAAACAGTGGATTTCAGTAGAGATCACACCTCTTCTGCTATCAGACACCACTAGTGCAAATTTAGATACAATCATTTTTACATTTGCAGGTTCGGGTACATCAAGCATGAGGTCATTGTGGAATATGCGTACGTTATTTTTTCATGAAGAATTCAGCCTTGGAATGTCTTATTAACATAGAAAAGGAAACAAAAATGATGCCCAGAGGACTGGAGTAACTTCAAAATGCTCAGTTTTCCAAGCACTGTATTAAATTAAGTTTTGGAAAACCTCTGCAAAATTAACCTTCACCTGAAAAGCATATCCTTGATTTGCTGGAAAACAGTGAGAAACTGGCTTGCAATGTGCTGTGCTCACCCACACAGTCTCTCCTCTTGTTTGAGGCTGACTGAGTTTAGAAGGTCAGATTTCCCCCGCAGTGTTCTCTCTCAGCGGCACCACAGTGGGCTTTGTGATCCTGACAAAGGGGACAATTATACCCACTTCGAAAGGCATTTACAAATATTCTGTGTGCTGGTGCAACTGGCATAAAACGCAGACAGCCCCCTGGGTGTCCAACTTTTCCTTTCACACTTCAACATTTCAAATTACTACAAGCAGAATTACCAGAAACAGTAGTAAATTCCTGGCATTGGGAGTTCCCATGATCCCAGCTGGCATGCAAAAAAGGCTGTCTTTTCCCCCCCTGAAAATAATGTACTTCCCAGGCACTGTCCAAATACCTCAAATGAGGCAAATGAAAGATTTGTTTTGACCAAACTCTGAAAAAACTGAACCCTGTCAGACAGGGCCCCAGGATTTAGTGATAATATATACAAAATGTCTGTGTCTAAAGATACTTAATTCATTGCCCTAAAATGATTTTAACATTTCTTAGCAAGAGAAGCTCTGATTTCACATAATGGTATTTTCAGAGTCACCTGGTGGAGCACACTTAATTTGAGAATTTATTGCCCTGCCACTAATATGACAAACTGAGTGTATTTTTGTTCAAACACCTTGAAAATGATGACTTAGACTCTACTACAATGTCTAGACAATATCCTCGAGTCTGGGTCCTGCAATGGTCAAACTTCATAGAGATCCAGCTAGGAGTCATAGTTGAAAGTTCCCTTTCTTATCTTTTCCTCAGAAAAGTTACTTCTGTTTTCATTGTATCTTATTGCCTGTGTATGGTTGGCTGCCTCGTGGTCCCTGGGATAAGGGAACCAAAGAACATTCCTTGTAAGTCACAGGAAGATAAACACAAGTCTCTCTTTGGTTATTCCCTGACCGTAAGGAACCCAATTCCCTACAGCAAAGGCCTCGGCGATTTATAATGAGTGCCATAGAAGTACAGGCAGGTGATGGCTGAGTTTTAGAGGAGCTAGGGGCATCCTTTGCTTTCTGTATGCCAGGTGTTTCTAGCATAATTGGCAGGATCTGTGCTCCAGTATCTGAATGACCTAAATTTGAGCTGAACCTAATTGAATATTTATTTGCACGTTGCTCTGAAGAAGTTGAAAACTCTGCTTGGTAGCATATTTTGATATTTATTTTTTCTCTGAATTTTCCCCCATCCACCCACTCCTATGTTTATATCTCTCCCCACATAGCAAACTTCTAAAATTAGTTTTATGCTATGTGTCTATTCCATAGGCACAACAGGTTTTTAGCTGGGTGATGAATAAGAGATATAAATACATAGTTTTATAATGCTTGGGGACTGAGAGACTATGTTTAAAAATCAACATGGCACGTCAAAATTTTTTACTGTATTTCCTTAGGAGAGAATTTCTTTTAGTAATTCTCAAATGCTAATAAATCTTAGAAATTAGAAAAAGATGAGTACTAGCATATGGTTTGCATTATTTTTTCCAGCCTTTTGTTCTGGATTTAAAGGAACATAAATCTTTCAGTGTAGACAGTGATCTGGAAATTAACAAGAATTAACATTGAGAAGCCAATGATGATGTAATTCACAAACTTCTAGGGAGAATTGATTCAAAAAATTAGGTAACTTTACTCTCATAATTACCACCTTACTTCTTGGCAACAATCATTGTGAGAACAGTGGGCACTAAATGGTTTAAAAGTTATGTGAGGCAATAACGAGGCAATGGTATTACAATTTAATTTGAAATTGAATATCCACTTAACCAAAATGTTAAGTAACACCATACTGTCTGATAGAACAGTAGTAGAGTAGAAAATTATATATACACTTGAGGCTCTCCTCAGTTATGCTTTTCTGATTTCCGCGATTGTCTTATGAGAGCTCACTTGTCAGTATTCTATACCCTTAGACTTACTTTGCAATGAAGGCTTTCAAATGTGTGTCCATACTAGCAACTTGTAGTCAATAATTATGAATGCTTTCAAAGTCTGGTTGGTCTTTTAGCAAAGGAATAAAGGGAGACATGATATTCCAGTTGGGTGTTTGCTGTTATTTGTGGGAATATCAAGAGGCTGACTTTGTATAACTTCTCCAGGTATCTTAATTGGTGCAGACGAGACACAAGTACAAATGGATGGGATTCGGATTTATACATAGGAAAACTGACATAAGGCACATCAAATTAGTAAAAACTTTGGCCTGACTTGAAACTCCCAATTTTCAGTTACTTGGGACAGTCAAATGTTTTGTTTTTGTTTTTGTCCCCACAGAGGGCCCCTCTCCAAAAAAAAAATCAGCATCAGAAATAGAAAGCTCATCCAGATATACTTAAAATTAGAAACGCCAAACTTCAACTTCTCTGCATATTTGGAAGGCAAAGATAAAGGAACAAGATTTGTAGATGTGTGAAGTGACCAAGAGAAAACACCTCAAAGCAAAGTCTCTGAGATACTACAGTTTCTGAGATACTACAGTAAGTCCACAAACTGAAGCAAATATTACCACAGTAGCTGTTATAGCCGCAGACATAACTACCAAACAGCCTAATCTCTAGGTACCAAGTTTCCAGAGATAACTAATCTCCCAAAACATTTGTAAAGTCAAGAGATGGAGAAATAGATAAGGATATGATGTTGGGTTGTGGCTGAAATAGTGACTTTTTACAGTCCCGTCTAATGCAAAGAGTTTATGATTCCAAGCCTTATTGTAAATGGAAACCTATCTATGATAAACATTAAGTGATAAGGGAAACAGAAAATTTCCTTTTATTATCCTGATATATTTTGCTCACTAGCTAATTCAGTAGATTTCCCAATCCCTCCAGGGGACATTAGTTGTCACAACTGCATTGTTGTGTGTGTGTGTGTGTGAGAGAGAGAGGAGAGAGAGAGAGAGAGAGAGAGAGAGAGAGAGAGAGAGAGAGCGCACTCCTGGCATATAGTCTATAGAAGCTCTGGAAACTGACAAAACAACCTACAATGCTCAGGAGGACTTCCACCCCTACTCCCCAACAAAGACTAATGAGCCCCAAAGTGTCAACAGTGCTGAAGTTGAGGACACTTGAGATGGTCTAATAAATGACAAAGAGCCACACACCTCTAAAGTGCAAATGCTTCTTTGATACACTGGTGTTTCTGGAATATCTTAAAAAATACGATGTTGATAATTTTAAAAAATGCAACAGATATTGGTGCAAGAAGGTGAACTATTATGCTTAGTCAGAAAGAATTCAAGTGTCCTGGAAAGTTCTCCTGTGTCCAGCACAACTTTGAATATATAATTTTCTTCTCATTAATGAAATTAACACATTATTTAAAATAGAGCAAACAGCACAGATGTGCATGCAACGATGTCCCATTTTTCATAAACATCCTTCAGGCAAATACTTGATAGTTCCTTATCTAAGTAGGATAGAAAATTGGAATTGGATAGGGAAATAATATTGATCGTACCTTCTTGCCAAATTGTGTTTGAGGATTTTACCATACTACAAACAATTATCACTATTTGTATTTATTACTATATGCCACAAGATCTTCAATAAATATTTAAGTTGATTGAGTGGTTAGATGAATAAACAAATAAAGGAATGAATGAAAATGCTCTTTAAAATGTAAAGTGCTTTACAAACACATTGTAGTATGGGTATATATGTAATAGGTAATGCTGCAGACATCATAATATTTGCTCAAAAAAACAACAACAAAAAAACAGAAAACCTTCTCAGGACAAAAAAAAAGTTCAGACAGTTTAGAAAGCAAATAAAAATTGTGATTATATGAAGGATAAGAAAACCTGCTATGAATATCATTCATTTTCAGGTACATTGGGGAAGAAATGAAACAAAGGCAGAAAAATTTTAAATGGCAAAAGAGAAATAGTATTGTTAACTTAGATAGTAACAGGTAGGAGTCGGGAGGGGGGAGGAACCTGAAAACCCAAACAAAGATCTTGTAATAGCTAGAACTTGAAACCACAGGTTGTTATTAAAATGGCGCCATTCTTAAAGCAGCAACATGATAGAGGAAGATTGGTCCACTGTTCTACAGGACAGAGTAGACAGTCATACAGCACATAAAGCTAGAATTTAGAAGGACTGTGCCTTCTTAACTGCTTGGTTGACCTTACATGCTGACAAAGGAGTATGGACAAGGAGAACTTGAACAAAAATAACCTGACAGGAGTTTCAAGTTCAAGACCTAGTTATGACAATGTGAAAATTACTTTTCTCTCTTGGACTCAATTTTCTTATCTGTGAAATGAAAAAGTTGAATTAGATGACCTCCCATGATTCTGGCATACAGATGCTGATGCCAAGAGTGGGGGCAGGGATGAGAAAGAAAAAGCAAGAGCAATCATTTGAAATTAGTAAAGCACATAAAGTAATAAAATATCTGAAAAATGTCTGAAGAAATACAAAGCAAAATAACATTTTACAGGAGCAAGAAACCATAACCACAGGATATATTTTTCAGTTAATCTTATTTAAATATTCATTTCTTATCGTGGAATGGATGTGTCTTGAACCATAACATAGCTTATAGCAAAACTTTTTCTCAAATATGCAATAAGTCCTAGGAGCATCACCAAATTTATACTTCTTCAGAATGAGAAAATAAGAAGAATTTTTTTTTTGCCAACAGTTTAATAAATTATACTCATCTGAGAAAATGTATTATCTGCATATTAGCATAATTTAAATTAATTTTATTCCTTTTATGCAATATATAGTCTTCATTTGCAAATTTTTACAATTAAAATTAAGTTCCACATATTTATATTTTAATGTGACAGCCCCTTACATTTGTGTTACAGGGATAAAAAATATTTAAAGTTATTTGCGTTTGAGGTATTTCCTTCTAAAGGGAAGCCTGCTGGTCGGCTCCTAAGCCTCCCTTTGCTGTGAAGAATAAACTGGGAAATTAGAAGAAGCTAGAAATGCTAATGACTCTACTTAATAAAGAAGTGAGCCAGTTGAAGTATGAACATAGAGGCCTTTGGTGTGGGAGAGGACAGATGGTTGGGAGAGAAGTCATGTAGAGGAATTAGTAAGAGAAAATATTAAGATGGGCAAAGAGAAACTTAAGTAATTTGTGTCTGCTTTGAAAGTATTCTCCTTTGGCAGTTTTTCAAGAAATGTATTGATCTGATTGTCTTTGAATGCTTTGTGTATTGATGAACTTTTTTTCCTGAATGCAAATGTGTGCTGGTACTGAACCAAGAGCTGTGCTTTATTTGAGTGGCATTGACATATGGTTTTAAAAGTCTGTACATTTAGTCAATCTGCATAATAATCATCTTGCAGGAAAGATAGGATGCATATATTTTTATTTTCCCAAATTGCAAACTCTGACTCATGGAGATTAAAGTGATTTTGCCAAAATAACATAGTGGACACTCAAAGTTGTATCAGCTGTTTTTTTTTCATTTTTCCATCATGCCTCTCTGAAATAAAAATGCTTAGTTTAGCTAAGAACTACCAAATCTTCTTTATCCTCCTCCTTTTTCCTCAAGGGAGGGGCTGGAAGGAAAGATCCCTATAGCACCACATAATAGAATTTCTGTGACGACAGGGAGATTCTGTATTGTCCAACATGGTAGCCACAAGCCACATGTGGCTATTGAGCACTTGAATGTGACTAGTGTGAGTGAAGAAATGAATTTTTATTTAATGTTAATTAATTTACATTCAAATCACCACATTTGTCTAGGGAATATAAGATTGGACAGCCAGCTCTAGAAGCTACATGTGACAGATTAACAAATGCCCTAGGTATCTTGAACTAAAATAATAACTGGGGCAAATTGTAGGTTATCATGTATCTTTAGTTTTCCATTTGTTAATATATCTGGAAGTCTACACCCTTTATAAACAAACCAACATTGTGGTCACTGCTATCTGGTTGACTTAAAGTATTTTTCTTGACTTTTAGTACTTTTATCTAATCATTGAATATTATTTTTGCAAATAATGAAGATGAATAACTAACTCCCTGTATAGTACCATTCACTTGATTTCTGCAGAAGTTTGCATGTTTTCCTTTGCTACTTTTAATTTTTAAAATTGTGATTCTCTCTCTATGCTCATAGTTTATTAAGCAGTGTACAGACTTGTCCTTTTTAATATATTATATATGTACAGTTCAAAGTATCAGCATCTATTCTGAATTTCCCGAAACTTTGTGTATGTCTGCTCTTCTGTTTCAATAAATGGTCACCAAGAAGGAAACAGAGACATATAAAATAGATTGAAAATTTCATGAAAAAAAGGGATTCAGCCAGCCTTTCCCCTTACCACTAAAGGATTCTTGCACAACAGAAACATCTCACCACCTTTAAGTCTCTGTTCTGTTAGGAAGCTTTCCCATACTTCAGCAGCCTTTTTCCTTCCAAAAAGTTGTATCTATCACTTGGTGCTTTAGTTCACTGAACAATTCAGAGGGTTTTATGTTTTTCTACAGAATGGCCGATTCTCTTGAATAAAAAATGGAAGAGCCCTAACCGGTTTGGCTCAGTGGATAGAGCATCGGCCTGCGGACTGAAAGGTCCCAGGTTCGATTCCGGTCAAGGGCATGTACCTTGGTTGCGGGTACATCCCCAGTTGGGGGTGTGCAGGAGGCAGCTGATCGATGTTTCTCTCTCATCGATGTTTCTCTCTATCCTTCTCCCTTGCTCTCTGTAAAAAATCAATAAAATATATATTTTTTAAAAAGGAAGATGGGAGAGTATAAAGATAACATTACTATTGCAAAGAGTTGTGTAAGAAGTTGGATATATAGGCAGGGTTTATATAACTGTCAATCAACTGCTGTGAGAAGCCACGCGTACCACAAAAGCTAGTGAAAGAAGCATCATCTTATCCTAAAAGGAATCGTCTAAGTGTCCCTTATGTCTTTGTAGAATACCAGTTGCACCAGTTACATTGGCAAGTCATTTGGTTATCGCTATCTGATCAAGCCTACTCCACAAAAAAATAAGTTGGGATAGTTCATATAAACTGAACGAAGCTACGCAGAGAGATTGTCATCACATCCTTCAGTCACCTTGTCTGTCAATTTTTTTTTGCAATTATTAACTAAGTACTTAGGAAAAAAATTACCACCCTCAACAGGTACTAAAAAATGTAAAACAAACTGCATGGGATGGAAAATGGCACTAGTTTACATGAGACAGTTGTGTACATAAATATGATACTGTTAGTGAGCTGCTGTCATTCAATGTAGACACTGTGTACAAGACGTCAAGCTGCTAGTGAAGTGCTGTTTAAGAGATCTCTGCTTCTTGATACCAGAATCTGCAAATGGTAGACATCGTACCCTATCAAAACCAACAGCTTCTTGGCACAGGATGTAAGTTTCATGGGTCATGTGATGAAGTTGTACACACAGTACCTTAATTTAAACTTTAGGAGCTCAGTATTTAGATATTAGCCACTTTTCTCCTCAAAAGGATGCCTTTTCTATCTTCGTTCAGGGGGAAATTTCAAGATCTGGATTTTCTTTACAGGGCAAATGACAGCTCCATTTAAGGAGTGTTGGGCATCTGGTTTATTTAGCCAGGGAGGGAAGGAGTCGATATGAATGAAAGGGTGGCTCAAATAGGCAGGACAATGATTGGCATTGCAACCAATTGAACCACTTTTGCTAAGTGACATAAAAATATTCTAATATTAAGGATTATTTTACAACTCTATGGAAGTATGCAGTAATGCACCTTGCATTTGTTTTGTCTTGATGACAAAAATGCACTCTTAGAGTCACAAGAGCCTGCCTTGTGTTAGTTATAAAGAAAAATATATTTATATATATTTATGTAACTACTATGTGCTTTAAAGAAAATTACTGTATGATTCAGCAGGGTTCTTTCATTCTTTTATCACCAGGGATATGCTGACTTGAATGGCTTCTTAGAAGGGAATCGACAATGAAATGGGCCTTTAGTACTGAAACGGCAAAAAGCAAAAAATACCCATATACTAAGAATCCCTTAACATTTTTGTTTAAAAAGTGATTAAGGAACTACTCATCCTTTTGTTTCCTTCAGCCAAGAGCAACTGTGGCTTCATAGGACTTCACAGTTGGGAAATGGAGGCAATGCTTCGTAAAGCAAATCAAGTTTTATTCTGAGGAGCGAGAATAGAAAGCCTCATTTGCTACTCCCTCTTTCCTAATCCTTAGCTAACAGGTTGGACATTCTATCACAGCTCATAAAAGGGCATTCATTAACAAGGAAGGGGGAAGCATAGTTTAAACCTCCTGTGCAGATAAAAGGTCCATCCTATAAAGTTATGAACCTGTTGGAACAGGTGGATGCAGACCAGAAAAAACACAATCCTTTGGCCACACATCTGATGAAAAGATAGAAAATTTCTTATTTTGTGTTTGTGTTTGTTCCTGCGTGAGCTATTTTTCTCAGCAATCTTGACATTCATCATTGCTCTTTTGGGTGGAAGGGTTCCGGCTTTGGAACACAGTTATCTTTGAGACATCAGAGAAGAGTATATGAACCAAAGGTGTAGATCCTTTGTGAACTAAAGCTTTGTTATTAGTGTTTTTGTTCTCGATCCCTTTGCAACCCTGCACCTAAGCCGATGGCACTGTGATCTTGTCATAATTCTGGGACGTCCACACGAGATGTTCTGGGTGAACTATAGTTGCCATCCTCAAAGGAATTCTATGTTCAGTGGTAAATGGTGGCTTGTATACGTTTTAGTTTTTCTCTTACCCTTCCTGGGCTGGGCTTGTCCAAAAATCTTGTTTCCTTCAGGCTACAGCAGCTTAGGGCTCCCTGTGTGTGTGTGTATGTGTGTGTTTGTTTGTTTTTTGTCTTAATGGTATAGGAAAAGTTTTAGTCTTAACACCTGTAAGCCAGCACTGGTGCTGTTCTGTCCTAGAAATCTTAGCACTGCTCTGATACAATAAAACCTTCCTTCTCTCCCACTGGTTCAACTTCAGCATAGGCTGGGTGGCCAGAACCTCTTCGAAACTTCATCGCAGGCCATCTGCTTGGGCGTCTCTAAAAGAGAAAATGAAAACACAATGAACACCAGGGTGGTGATCACATCAGAAGAAAATATATTTGCCAAGTAGTTTAGATTAACTTCTCAATTAAATTTAGTGATATGTGAAATTCTCTCTTATTACCACCACAGCTGGAATTATATACCCACAAAGCCCCATGACTGAATTTCCATTATGGTACCATCAGCCCCTCTTAGGTGACAGGCATTTGCCATACCTACCCCCATCGGATGTAGAGCTTCTCAAAGGTAAGCCTTATGTCTTATGCATATTTATGTCTAAAAGATTCTACAAATGCCCAAATATAACTAGGCAAAAATGAACTGTAGTAGAAAAAATGTCTTCTTACTATGTAGCCACTGACACTTTCTCTTCTCTAGAAGTCAGTAATGACATCATTTCATTTTATTAATTAACTTACTCAAAACTCAAGGCCATAAAATTCTGCAGGGTACTTAGAAGTGTACCTCAAATTAGGTGCCAGATTTTCTGGCAAAAAACTAAAAGGAAAACCACTTAATATCTTAAAAAATATTTATTAAGCTGAGACTTCATATATATTACTTTTTGTGCTTGAAAATTAACAGATGTCATGTCCTGAAAACTGAATCCACCTTCGGAGGGCATGAACCATCCTGACCTTATGAGCTAAATAATTGCCCATATGGTCACTAGTCCTAAAATGCAGGTTATTTCTATAGACAAAGGACTGCATGTCTCCCCAGTACTCCATCCATCAAACAAACACTAAAATTCATTTTATGGTCACAATGACACTAGAAACTATTAGTCTTCTTATTATATCTACAATTTTAGAGTAAATAATATAATAAATATTGAAGGAAGTTTATTTCTACCTAAAGAATTTCAATGTGAAAAAAATGTTAAATATTAGTGTTGATATCCTGGCATTTGGCAGCTTTCTAGATTTGCCAATTATATTCCAATGTCAGTGATTAATGGCTGCAGAAGAATTTTCATACCAGGTATGAATGAGTATTAGTTCTACTTTCTGGGAAAATACCAATCAAGGTAATTGCATTTTGCCTTCTAATAATATTATGTACTGTCTATGTAACATTATGTGGTCAGAATGCTTTATATGTGTTAGCTGATTAAGTCCATGATGTAAGTGGAACTGAATTATTCATATTTTTCAGAAAAACAAGTTAAAACTAAGAGAGGTAGGTAGAAAAAATAGTGTGTCTCTGTTGGAACTAAAAATCATCATCGTTAGAAATATACAAAGCATCTCTAGGCAGATGGCCCTATAACTCATGGTTACTCCTGTCTGTGGGAAAATGCCAATATGCCACTGTACTCACTATTTATGACCCCTACTCTGGTTTCAGTAACTTCACAAATGGACTTCTGAAGCCACAACTGCCCTAGTCCTTCTTTGAGTCAAGCAGCTCAACTAAGTTTTATTTCTGAATCCCCACATTTCTAAGACCTACCTGGCCTATGGGTCCAGCTGGCAAGTATGGCCTGTGAACTAGTGCTAATTAATGTACAAGCCAGATAATGAGAATGTTGATAATGATGCCTGTGAAAGTTATACTTTGTTAAGCTCCTAACAGTAGTTCATGCTTTGTACTAGGTGACTTATATATATGATCTCATTTGATATGCAGAACTCCATCATTTATATTTTTTCAAACTTGTAAAGTTAGTAAATGGCAGAGCCAAGATTTAAAATGAGATCTATCTACTTCCAAAGTTTATTCTCCCCATTGTAGAACTTAATTCTTAAAATTCAGTGGCTTGCGTATAGCTTATCTGAAATTTGTGAACATGGTTCTATTTTTATTTCAGTCTTAAAAATATACCCTTATCAACAACTTCAGCATTCTGTTAGTAAGTCAGAAACATTAAGTTAATTATTCTCTGTATTAGCTGAAAAGAATGCAGGATTAATAATGCTCATCATGTTCTTTGTGAGCTCATCACATAAGTCCTCCAAATAAAGTACAAAAATTTTGGACAGTGAAGCTTCCTCTGTTAACATAATCGTAACTTATTTTCTGAATTAATTACCTTAAAATTTTCTCTTGATTTTTCCTACTATTTGTTATAAAAACACACACACAGACTTGCCCCATCAACATTTAAAATCACCAGAGATCCCGCCACTCACACATAATTTGCTTCAACTTTCAGTGTCCACCACTTATATGCATTTCTAGGAACAATGAATCATTGCACATACTGTTTTAAGAGCTCTTTTTTCCCCCCATAAGTAAACACTGAAAAAGAACTATGCCTCTACAAAATTATTTTAAATGTTTGTAACATATATTATTTATAACTAAATGTTTTATTTAATCAACTTGATATTTGAGGTAGTTTTCCAAATTTTTTGACAATATAAATAACATTACATTGACTAGCTTTGCTACTCATCTGATGAATATATCTCTTACTAGTTCCTTTTATAAACTCTCAGAAGTGGAATTATTGGGCCAAAGCGAAAGCACAAAATATTTACAAAATCAGAAATGTCTAGTATGGTGCTAGATGCTGTGTTGAAGGACATATGACCAAAGAAAGGTTTGGAACATACTAGTAGTTTCTGGTCCCTTTGGGAGTATGTACATGTACTCCTGCTATTTTTGCCTAGATTAAAATAAAATGCCTTTTTTGATAATGATATCTTAATATAGCTTTTTTTCTTTTTGTTAAATAACTTTTTTTAAAAAAAATCTTTATTGTTTAAAGTATTACATGAATCTCTTTTTCCCCCCATTGACCTCTCCCCAGTCACCCCCACCCCCCAGCACATGCCCTCACCCTCCTACTGTCTGTGTCCATTGGTTATGCTCATATGCATGCAAACAAGTCCTTTGGTTGATAATGATATCTTAAATTTCATAATTGAACTCTAACAAATATCATACAACTGGGGTTTTAAAAATTTGGTCTGATTTTACATTCTTTTACATTTTCTTGATATCTCTAGCTTAGCCCTAAAGATACCAAAGAGTAATAACTTTACCAAAATTCTGCTTTCTTTCTAGAATACTTTCACATATAACACAAATTAATTATATGATCTTAAATCACCTGATTTCTCTGGGCCTTTGTTCCTTCACTTGTAAAATATTATCTAAGTGTTTGTCCTCTAAACTCTTAGGATCCTTATATCGGCTTGCCTGAGATAACTGCCTTTAACGTTGTGGGGAAAAAGAGTGATTTAGAAATTCCTCTGTATGGTGGTTCTTCTGATCGTTGTCCCTCCTGCCTCTCTCCACGAATTTTCAGGATTTCTAAATTTAAGGAAAATCTATATAAATTAGTCCTAATTGAAATACTTTTCTATGTCGATCTTCAATCCTTCAAAGGTTTCCTTATAAAAGTAAATAATGGGGGCAGGTCTTTGTGAGGGAATATCTGAATAGTTGGTTCTTATAGAAAAATCTTTAAAGTTGATGCTATAACATGAGGCATCTATCCAGTGGACAAGGGGGTGTAGACACCTGATGTCTAGCACCGCCACAAAGTGCTGTGGTCACAAGTCTGCATTTTTATGTCTTTCTCGAGGCTTAGACATGTCTAAATCTGACTTCTTTTTAGAACAGCGAATTCACATTCCTGCAGAAACTGATAGGGGAAACAGGATCACTTGCTAGCAGGGCAGGATGTATGCTGAAATTGAAAAATTCAAATCAGAATGTAGTGGAATTCATTACAGAAATTCGGGAAGTAATGCCTTAAAACATTAGCGGGCATAATGCGTGGGTGATCTCTAATTTCATGCTGGAGAGTTATTTATGTGATTAATTACATTCAGAAGTCAATGTTCACATTGATATGCTGGCTTGGGTGGGCTGTGCAATCAGGTATTCTCCCTAATTACTCCTTCAGTACTATTAATTGAACAGTCATCCAGATCTATCTCAATGGTCTGTGGCAAGATAATTAGCTGAAATATACATAAACAAACCTGCAGGGTACCCTCAGTTAGCAGTGTACACACAACTGCAGCTGGAGACTTCCCTTCAAGCTCAGTCAGCAAAGCAAATAGTCCTTTGAGTTGGGTTAGATGAGCTTTGAAAGGAAGTTACTAGGCATGAGTGTAAAAGAAAACGGACCAGATTTAAAATTCAAGGCTCAGTTGGAAGACACTTGACAGGCAGCTGGCTGGAAATTTCTGGTGTTTTGTGCTGCCTTCTTCAGTCAACAGGGGGTCGTAGAAAGAAGCTGGGATCAGACTGAAACAGCACCTGTTAGTTCCCATCAGAGGACTTAGGTAGTCACATGATGTCTTTGTTACTCAGTTTCCCCATTTGGAAAATGAAATAAACTAGATTATTGTTTTTCAACTTCTTTTCTTTTTAAATTGAAAAAGTGTTTGTCACAGACCCTTTGTTCCACTGAAATCTTGCCTTGTAATCCAAACCAGATTGTGCAGAGTAGGTCTCCCTTCATTGGGAGGGAGGAGCCCCTGCTGACATACTCTTCCTGAGCCATGAGGGAGCCTGTGGACCCTACACCTTCTCAGAGCATGTTTTCGGAAACTACAGAACTAAATCTGCATTTCTCAAGCTTGATTGTGCACACAAGTCACAAGGGATCCTGTTAAAATGCACGTGCTGATTCATTAGGTCTGGGGGGAGGTTGGAACTCTGCATTTCAAACAGGGCCCCAAGGCTGCTGCTGCTGGTCCACACTACACACACACTTTGAATAGCAAAGGTGGTGACTGTCTAAGGTCTCTTCAAAGAGGAACATCTTTAAAAGTGAGTGGAAGAAACGGTATTAAACTCTGACCTTCCTGTGTCTCCCATGTGCCTTCATGGGAACTGAACCCTCCTTGTACAGCTGGATTAACCTTTCCGTGTTTAGCTTTGATAAAGTTTGTTCATGAAAGGGATTCTTTTTTCTTTTATATAACTCTAAATTCCAAATATTCTCTATTCTCCTTATTTTGTGTTGACTATTATTTCAGTTTTAACAAATTACATGTCTGGGTTGCCAGATTTAGCAAAATAGAGA